AATGATTTAGTGTCATGCTTTAATGTTTAATGGTAATAGAAAATGCGGTTAAACGAGAAAATGCAACATACTCGTCGCAGTGGGTGCATAAACATGTTACCAAGCAAAATGGTCTGTCTGAGTACAAAACCGCAAAACAAGAGCTATCCAACCCACCACAAAACACTTAAAAATACAAATTAAAATACGATTAAAAATTTTTGTGTTGTGCTTACAAACATCTTAAAAAAATACTTCTTTGCTTTTAATGCCCGGCTATAATCGACTTAAAAAAAGTACAGTGCCTAAAAAACACGGAATAAAATATAATAATTATTATAGTAACAATTTATTGAAGTGATTAAAAAAATAAAAACTTTTAAATAAAATTTTAATCTGTTCAACATAACGTATTAAGAGGTTTCCAAAAATAAAATTTTATTGAGAATTGATACAGGTTATAATTTTTACGCTGTTCACGTCACAAAAGATTAAAAAGTAACATTATAGTAATAGTATTAATTTCTCTATCATATTCTTTTGTTACGTAAGTCACTACTGAAATTTCATGTTTAAATTTGTTTGAATTTGTTTGAAAAAAATCTCTAAAATATTAAAAAAAGCATAAATTAGATTCAAAGTTTGAATTGTACTTTTCATAAAAACTTGAAAGATTTACTTCCTTCAAGAAATTAAATACGAGTAAAGTGAAGGCTATTATATTAAGCATTTATAGAGAAATCTAATCACATAATCTCAAACTCAATAAAAATAAATTCTCTTGTAATCTTTAATATCAATAAAGTTCAGTTACAATGCAATCACATCTAACGTTTAAAAGATATAAATAACTTTTGAACCACTAAAAACACTAGACGTAATATGTACATACTTATTTTTAGTTAAGTCCCTTGAGTGAAAAAATTGCTTTCCATTCCTTTGGGATATAAAATGACATTTTGAGAGAGCTCGAGTAAGAACATTTTAAAGACAGAAAAATGCATCCGATTTTTTTAAACATAAAAGGCTAGTTTTTTTATCACTAATATTATGCATTAAAAGGCCTAAAATTGAACACTTAAAAGGTTAAAAAAAAACAATATAGTTTCAATTAAAATAAAAAACAAAGTCTGCCGCAGGCTAACGAAAACGAAAATCCCCCCTTGAACATCACCAATATCTCCCCAAATTTACACAATAAATTTGCAACCACAACCGACGATTATCGGTATGCAATGGATACTCCTTTGTTAAGGTCAGTCCCTCCGTGTACATACATTAACAATAGTAAAGATCCCAAATGTCAACAGTAGCCCCATAACCCTGTCGCAACCGAGTATAAATAACTCGTCTTGTCAACACTTTGAATACGTTTAGTAAAAAAATAATTTATTGAGGGTTAAATTCCCGAATGAAACTATTCGAGTCGGGAGCGACGTTACGCGTCCAGTTAGAGGAAGAACGCGGAGGGTTGTATCGATCTTAGGCGTAGAAGCTATGAAGCATGGTATACGCAGTGTAATTCGCGACATGGCGTAGGAACTGAAGGGGCCATGACTTTCCCGTCTGGTCCTTAACCCTGCTTGAAGGGTTTTCAGTAACTGACGCCCGCTAGGGTAACAGTGGAAAAAAACTGTTTCGACTAGAAGTGGAATCGGTAGTACACAGGTTTAGTGGTTTGAAAAAAAAAATTGGAAGTTTCTTGATCGACGCATTTCAAAGAGTAAAAATGATAATAAGAAATTATTTTTTATAGTTTAATATTTTATTTCCAAATACAAATTTTATTTTTTTTGTTGGTTTCCCTCTGTTAACATACATAAAAATAGACTAGTACTATACCATCACATTATTGCTTGAATAATATGTACTGTTAGAGAATATTATCTATTTACAGAAAAAGTTAATGCCCATAGCACAGAATTTTTAATTTCTACGATTTATCTACTATGATTACGAGTATAAATTATAACTTATCGTATGAAAACATAATAAATCTAGTCTTGTATGGACCAAAACTTATTTTTTTCTAGTGAAAACTCTATCATATACGTACTAGTTGTATGATTTTTTCCCATATTAGGTAAGGCAGTGTGTACAGGGTGCTGCATTTTGGATGTCCGAATAGGGAATCTCCGAAACTAATAGGTTTAGCCAAAAACGAGTGATACATTCTGGGGCTCATTTTTTGAGAAAATAATATTGGTTAAAACCGCATCCCGCTATCGTCTTTTGTTTTCGACTTACAGACAAAAGTTGACATTTTGGCGAAATCTAAAAAAATTCATATCTATCTTGGTTATTATAGAAGATACGGATTTGAAATAAAGACATTATACAGGCACTTTTTTACGTAGAATTTAATAATGTAGTTAACATTTTTTTTCAGTTGTTTGTTTAGCCGTAATAAAATAAACTTGTATTTTTTTAAATAGGAATCATAGATGGCTATGTCATTTTTAAAAAGCTTGTTTTTTCCTAATCTAAAAAATATATACATATTTGTAACAAACTATTATAATACATTGTTAGCAAAAGTTATCTTTGATTTTTGTTCGCAGTTGGCCATGAAAAAATGTTGCATCTTCAACTAAAAGGATTTAAAGTATATTATTCAACCAGTGTCACTAATGAAAGAGTTTTCTAAGTGCTAAGTAATGAAAAAAATGCAAAATAAATCGTAAATCAACTTATTGGGGACTAATAACGTTTCTTCGTTTTTAAACAAGCTAACATTACCATTGCAACTTCTAGTGATACAAAGAGTGTTGTAAAAAAAGCCGCTTTAATTCGTCAATAAAATATATTTTATATGACACAAAAATGACGATATGGCTATTCAAATACCCAAATTCTGTCTATGTGGAACGTTATCCTACCTCCATTAGATCACCAAAAAAATGTTTTTTCTAATTGTGTTGACTGTTGACACATTTGTTTTTCCTATTTTTGGATTTTTTAAAAAAATGTAATAATTTTGTTCTGAAGCGCTCACATGTTTGTTCAATACTTATAACGTATCGTATTTTTTAAATTTTTATAATTTTATCTATTTTACAGTTCACAAAACTCTTATTGATTATTATTTACACATTTGGAGTGAAATAGTTTTTCCATGGCCAACTATTATGAAACAAAATATGTATTTAATTTTTAAAGTATAATTATAAAAAAAATTCCGTTACAAGTATATATTTTTAGATCAGAAAAAAATAAGCTATTCAAAATTGCCATAGCCGACTATGATTTCCATTTAAGGAAAGACAAGTTTATCTTATCACGGCTAAACCAATAACTGAAAACAATTGTTAACTACATTATTAAATTCCTCGTAAAAAAGTGCCTGTATAATGTCTTTATTTCAAATCCGTATCTTCTATAATAACGAAGATATGAATTTTTATAGATTTCGCCAAAATGTCAACTTTGTCTGTAAGTCGAAAACAAAAGATGATAGCGGGATGCGGTTTTAACCAATATTATTTTCTCAAAAAATGAGCCCCAGAATCACTCGTTTTTGGCTAAACATCTTAGTTTCGGAAATTTCCTATTCGGACATCCAATATATTATACTCGTATTTATGAACTAAACTGTACTAACTAATTATAAAAAAAAATATTATATCATATTTAATAAATTAATTGTAGCCAACTTACAAGTCCTAAACCTATTTGCATTGTAAATAAGACACTGATATAATGAATTCTTAGGAACTAAAATCCTGCAAACCAAAGTCTAAATTACAAGCACATCCGCTATACAATAGAATATCGACTAAGATGTTTTATTGGTTATACACAACACATTAAATAAAGAGGAGCAGATTACTTTCAACATGAAACGATGATTCTCATTAAGGCTCCCTCTATTAGCTATTACATTATTAGCGATAAATGTGGTATTTGCATCGTAAATTGCCACCGTTTGTCTCAGTCTTAGGTATACTGCGAGCACGAGAACAAGAGCTTAAAACTAATTCTCCAGCCAAGATAAAATAAAATGCACATAACTTTTCAATAATTGAGAGCATTTTATCGAAAAATAGAAATTAACTTAAACAAACTGTGCTTATATCCTGGTCATCCAGAAGCTATAGACTCTACCAAGTCTCCTAGTCTAGACCCCAAGTGGCCCATTATGATCAATATCCGGACATTTTTCATGCTTTTTGTTTAAACCCAACCTTATGAAATTAAATTACCTTACTTTCATTCGACGCTAAATAGTATTACGTATTTTGCAGAAAGAAACTAAAGTCAACTGCCTTTTTTATAATTTTCTGTCTCAATGGCTAAAGAAAGTAAAAGTCTAATAAAATAATCTATACTAGATAGGTTTCAAAACCTTTAAAATAAAATATTTAATTCTGTGACCTAGATAAAAAAGACAGCAGGCTAAGTTAGAAATTTTTAAATGTCATGCTTATAGATATGCAGTGTTACATCCTCTTGAGATTTTGACAGTAATCTGTTAGCACTTTAGAAAGTGTCAAAGTGTGCCAAAAATCCCAATCTAAAAGAAAAATCTTTCAACTAATAATAATGTTACCGTAGGATTTCGCTTATGCCACCACTTAAGCTGGTATTAAAGTTGCATGACAGTGCACCGTCGAAGTCTTAGAAGCTCTAAGACTTACCCCACTTTATACCCCAATATCCCGAACACGTTTTCCCCTTAAAGAATATTGACACCAACCTGTGCATTTCGCATAATCATGTCGTTTTGTTGAAAGTTCGACTCGAGATCGGATAAAAGCAGAAAAATGGTTGCATTTTCGTCTATAGAACGATCGCTTGCACTTTTTACGATTATTGCACTTAGTGAACGTTTTAAATACGACGTCGCCGTCTGAGGGAGTTGCAGCGGTGTGGCTGTTCTATGTAAATCGAGTTGATTCGTTTTATTCAGACGGTGCAGATGGCGAAGTTATAGTAGTTATGATAATTTCTATTGTTTATTGGACCCGTTTAAAGTTCAGCATTGCAGACATGTTACACTGCGAATTTCGATTTGCATTTACCTTAAACGCTCCTCTGGACTGGAAACTCCATCTAGTAAATAAGGGTACTCCAAATGCAAACTCCTGCAAAAAAAAACCTATTGTTAGTAAATGCAACTTCAACTAAGCAGCACATATACAATTATAACACCTTTAATATGATTATTATATCCATAATTATTTTAATTATCATGGTGAGTAATTAGTTCCTGCATTAACCATTTTCAAAGTACCTTAGAACAAATTAGGTACAATCCTATTTAAAATCCATTCAGAAATCGAAGCCAAACATTTTACAATGTAATTTTTAACAAGTTTGCATAACGGAAATGAAAAATTATACCTAATAATGAAAGTTTGAGGCAACAAACAGATAAACTAAATATATAGAAACTATAATAGAGTGACAAAGAAATTAATGCAAAAAAATTACATTTGAAAAAATTTGTATTTGGTTTGGTTCATTTTGTAATATTTAATTAATGGTCCCAACGCACTGTGATAATTCTGACGCTAAAACACTATTATCCTTTTTCCTTGTTATTCAATTCCTTCATAAGAGCTTCCTCCTTAGGGAGTTTAATGAAAAAAAAATCATACATGCCATAGAAGCGTCCTTTTACAATTTCAAACCAGCTATTATTCACAACGAAACATGGAAAATATGGGTATTCATTTACGAGTATTTGCAGTGAAACTGCGGGGGAAAAACTGCAAGCACACATAGCGTGTCTTCATTGTTCCCGCGCGATTTTGCCCTCACTGCCGCCCTTTTAAATAGGTACTGCAAAACTCCTGTCGACAACACAAACACCTATTCAAACTAGCTTTTAGTGCCATGGTCGTCTGCTTTTAATAAGTCAGTAATTTCAAAATGAACTTTGGAGAGGGCGGCCTATTGTTTCCCAGTGTTAGGGTGGCTTTATTAAACAGCCATACGTGAATCTCTAATGCGACGTCATCTTTGCTTGGTGAAATTTAAAACCAATTTAAAATTGACGAGTAAACATATTAAAAAATCTTTAAATGACTTATTTGTTGGATCAGTAAAAGCATAGACGTTTTAATGCAGTTTTAATGGAGAAACAAAAAAAAACACAAATCTTGAGCCAATGTAGTTTTTTATTGTAATTATTTTCTTCTAAGTACTCGTAACATAAAGGAATAGAAAGAAACACAAGTTGCATAGGTATAAAAAAAAATTAAAAAAACATAAAATGCTAAACCCTCAATACCTCAGTGAATCTAATTGAGTTTAAATATTTGTCCAAAAAGTACATTTAAAAAAAACACTTTGAAGACGATTAAATCTCTCTAAGTCTAAAGCACTATTAGAAGCTAGCTCTTTTAGATAAATTATTGATATTTTTGAGAAGAAATTTACTCTAGGTTTTTATCGTTTACGCTTTAATTTTTTTATGAAAAGACTGCATAATATTAAAAACCGTGTTTTACGCTTAAATAAATTTTCGTAAGCAACCTTTTATATTTTATAAATATGTTGTGCAATATTCTTATTTCTCGTTGTTGTAAAAATACACACTACATAAGCTACTTCAAGCCATTTCTCCATTATTTATTCTCAAATAGTAGTTTTGTGAGTATGTGTAAATATGCCTAAAACACTCTTTTATGCAGTTTATGTCATAATTTTAAAAATAAAAACTTTTCATCAGCTGTCCTCTTTAACAGAAAAATAACATTTAATTTCCCGCTACCATTTGTTCGTCACCAAGAAATTCAAGGGTAAAAAGCAACAACGTTTTCCACATATTAAACATCTGTATTTTCAAAAAACGTAATTCTCTGTTCAGATTTGTCCATCCAAGAAAACACAATGTAAAAGCTTAATAAGCGCAAAACATCCTTAGCTGTCTTCGCTTTCCAATTTTCCGTTGTTTCCCAAAAGTCTAATAGCATTACGTCCGGTCGATCCTAAAAAGGCTCACACAGATCCGCCCTCCGAGAATAAAAAAATCATACGCTGTTTTACGTTCGACACGGGGCTGGAGCAGGACAACGACTCCCTCAGTTACCGTCATCGTGCAAGAGCTATAAATCTGTCGCCAGTAGCGATGAAGTGCCTCCTTTGGAGGAGATAGAAACTGTAATAATTGTGATGTTTACTGCCCATATTGCACTTCATTAGTCTTTAAACGCCGAACAACGATTTTGTTGCTAACCTACATTGAAACATTTGACGCAGGGTAATTCCTGCTAAATGTTTAATCAAACACACTTACATAAACAAAATTTGTTTAAAGACACATTTTTGGTTTGATTTGATATTTTTGAAAGTACTGTTTTGGTTTTATTAGTCAACATAGGTATTACTGAGTAATTTTGATACTTTTGCACAAGTTTTAAAAGATGATGGAACAAAAAATGCTAAAATTACTCTTTTGCCTTTTATATTTATATGTATATTTATTTATAACTATATTTACAGTTTCTGAAACTAAGAGAAATTTAGTATAAATTTATATTAAAATCATAATAACAAAGTAAAAATTTTGTATCTTTTTTTTGTCGAAGATACCACCGAATCCCGCACAAACTTTGCGAAATCATTAGCAAATTCAGTGAAGCATTGCTCCTGGAAACTATATCCAGTATGCACTTATGAATATGAGTCTTCGTAGGCGACTTAGGCATTCGTTCTCCATTAATCCTCTTTCATTAAAATTGCACTTTGACTATTTGTTCGATACTATTCACTTATGCATTAAGTTTGACCTCAATGTTTTCCCCAAACATCAGATCAAGTTTCAATTTACTAGACTATCTTGGTTTTATTATTCAAGTCAATGTAATTTCGTTACATTCATTTGTAAGCAGAATGTCAACATTTGATCACGCCATCATTGTTGAAGTTTGAGGGCGAACAATTTAGGTATACTTTATGCAAATGTATTATATGCTGACGTATTCCGGAGTCGTAGGTTAACCCACCATCTGTCAGGATCTTGCGATTAAACTTGCTTCTGCTGAATATCTAGCCGGCCGGAATTTATAAATAGAATTATAAATTAATTGAAGACCATTTCATCAATCAAGGATTAACGCAATAATGAGGTTTGTTGGTAATTATTGCTAATTAGTGTACCTGATTAATAAACATTATTAAATCAGCCCTGTCTTCCGCACTGTCATGACGGTGTGCGATTAGGGACTCATGCAAGACCATTAATTTGCTGTTAACACGTTTTCAAAAAACACTTTATTTTAAGTCAATTGTTTACTCTCCATAAATAATTAGTAATTAGTGAGCGGCAAAATTATGGAATAATCTTATTTATTAAAACTGAAAACATTTTGTTTTGACAAATATGCTCGAACAGCTGAATTTTCTTTTTAAAAATAAAAAATTTTCAATTCAATTTAAAATTGTATGTTTTTTGTAGAAAATATTTCATTTCTTTGGTGATTTTTTTTCGAAAACTATGTGATATTTAATATTTTGAAAACCAAAAAGTGGTAACGGCTATTAGAACCAAATAACAACTGCCTATAAAACCATGAAAACTGATGAATCCCTGAATCTGCTAAACAAAAATTTTAAATTTGTTATCAACTTTAAGAAGATTTAAGTTCTAATAACAAGTATGTGTCACGCATTGTAGTTTTAATAAGCTATTCCAAATTTTAACAAACAGTATAGTTGATAATGACTGTTGCGGTAAAAGTAGAAACAAAAACAATTAAAGAAAAAAAATCACTGCAAATATAGAAAAGCAAATTGCATGTCATGCTATTTTTCAACCAATACAAAGCATGAATAGACCCATCTTTTCAAGCGGTCAGTAATTGCTAGCTCTATACATTTATTCCATAAAACCCCTTTTCTTATAATAAAAACAAAATGAAAGCTCATTACGGTTTTGCTGCAGACCCTTTTGCTACTTTTTTTGTGAAGATTCATCCGAAACTGACGGCCAACCGTTATAGAAGTTTTTAAGGTATATCCCATGTAATTTACACCAATTATCAATGCCTGTTAAAAACAATCAATTCAATTGTGACAATTAATTCACTAAAGCCGAAATTGTTGATATTTTTAAGTAATGAAATACATAAATGACAAGCACTTTTTTATTGTTTTGTTCTTGTAGTTTTATTTTGCATTCGGTTTATACATACAGAAAACTATTGATCTAACTGTTAAAAAAGAACAATTGTTACATAGACTCACAAAATCTATCGATTTTCCTTTAGGTATACTTACTATACCTACACTGTATGACGCTACAAACACTCTCACAAGCGATTTGTTGCGATAAATCAATACAGAAAAACAGAAGTCAATTAAAAATTTTATCAATTGTTGGCATAAATTCAAGTTAATTCATGTGTGAAATATTAAGTTCATTCCGGTTTTTGTAAACTTACTAATGAAATAATCCCTGCCGTCTTCATTCATGCATGGATGTAAAAGCGAACATTCATTTATTTTTCAAACTTACTAATACATACACCCAGGAAATATTCTAATTACTGAAAACATCACAAATGTCGTTATATTCGAAGAGGATTGTAAACTACCCATGATAATTGCTAATTGCTAGTTTCACACTTTGCCGGGTGCCTACATAATACGTCACCTGGAAATTCTAATAGAATCCTCTGACTGTAAATTTCATCAGTATTAGACGTGGCGGCGAATAAATTACAAAACGTAGAAAAGCCACAACGAAACTGATAAACGGTATATCACGACGAACACAATTTAGAAGACAGAAGGTTTCAATTAACACTTTCAGCCGATTTCATTTCAACTTCAATCTGTAGACTCTTGTTACTTCGACCAAAATGGCTTTTATAAATCCTGACCGGCTTTCGGGGATACACTGAAAAATCACTCCAACAAGATGATACCTATTGTCTTATTTCAGAATCTTAGTTTATCAAATATTTGAAAAAATAAAATAAATAGATACAATATAAAATTATGCAAACTACAGTATACATACTGGTACTAATAATTTAATTTGTAATGTTCCAAATGTAGTGTAATAATACTAATAATTAACAATTGCATATTTCAATGAAATAAATTACAATTCTTACGCTATTTATCGTTTCTA